GTCCCAGAAGCCAATTTTGGATCATTTTCCTTTTACGTCTTAAAAACGCGTTGATTTATTATCGATCCTTTTAAAATCACCCGACTTTTTAGTGCATAATGTTAGAACGACATGGTCTTCATGTTTCTTACGAAATTGTTCCGCGTGAGAACAAGTTTCAAGCCGAATATGGACCTCTAAGCGACTACCCATAAGAAACATGAACACCATGGAATTCTTCTCTGTCGTGAAACAAGAATGCTCAGTTTCCATTTTTCATGGCTTTGTGTAGCAAATGATTAATCGATATGTTGTTTAACTCTTGATCCGTCTTTTGGAGTTTCGGCGGCCATGATGGATTTTGTGAGCGAGGACAGGAGAAGGTTTGCTATTTTCTACTGAAACTGTCAGTTTTGTATTTGCGTAAGAATACGCTGTGTCGTAGGTTCGTTTGAGCGGCAGTAGATGATGCTTTATTGTGTTTGACTATAATTATAATTCCGAGTATTTTTTTCTGTTATCATTTTTAATAACTCACCAAAATTAATATGATTTTTAGGACAGAATTAGCCAAGCGACTCCGACTCAGTCGGAACGTCTTTCGGTTCAGGCGTTCCCATGGTCGTCTTCGGGTCCGATCGCAGACCTGTCCGGAAAGTGGTCTCCGTTGTCGGGGTCTTCGTTTAGACCACTGCGCCCGACCGCCCCTGGCTATTCACTGCCATCGTATACGTTGACCACCGGTGGACAGCGCATTTGCGGCTCGTCTCCGGGCGTACAGTACATCGACGGCTTGCATTTGGGCTCGCCTCTGCTTCTGCCGGTGTGCCTCGTCGACTCTTTGTCGCCGGTGCCCAGGTTCGCCCAGCTGCCTGTCTGGTTACCAGTTTTGGAGGAACTGGTCCACAGAGCGACAGAAGAACCTTCGACCGCCGCTTGCCTGCCCCTCGGATGCGCGGCCGCCTCTGCCTCTGAACGGCAACCGAATACCAAAGGAGAGTTGCGCTCAAAGGCGACATGCCAGACGACACCCAGCGGTGTAGCCGTCTGCCCTCGTCGTGCTGATAGTCGTATTCGCAACCACAGTTGCCTCCAGCGATCAGGCTGTTCGTCCGCGTCATCTTTCTCCTCATCCGACACACTCAGTGGACACGAATCAGATATGGCCAGCGAATTTTTCGTTCCTCACCCAGTGGATGACTACCTCAAAACCGTCAGTGCAGACGAACCTCTCGCGAAGCAGGCGCGATATTCTGTCGATGTCGGTCATGGTAAGTTTCGTAGTCTCCTGCCTTCTGTCTTCAGTGTCCGCGTAGTTGTGATGATTACAACAAATTCATGATTTCAGGCAATTCAGCGGTTAAAAAATTTAGAACTGATCATTATTATAGCAGCGATATCTATTGCTTGCCAGAACATCAGGGTCCATTCTGATCATAATTATATTGCAGTCTTTCCTCTTTTTCTGTATTAAATCTTATATCGTTCTTAATGTTGTAGATCATTGCTGTTATAGATCTGACTGATCATTTCCTTATTTCAGATCCATTTCTTAGCGCTGGTGCAACCCCTGCATTGTTAATATTTTGTATTTTGTTATACAGTAGGCAGAGTAGTGGAAAGTTTTCGACAGAGTCTCAGGTTGTTAAGTGCCCACAAATGTTTTACATTTGGGTTTGTGGTTAGTGTACCATTCATTATACTAGAGAGGTTTCTCTTAGAGGATAAGGAGATGCGTCTTTTCTTGATTCATTACATGTTTTTACAGTTTCATCTGTTTTTTTGCCTTGACGGAGATATAAATTTGTGAGTGGAGCTTGTGTAGATGTTCGAACTCGATCTTCATTAAAAAAAATGCCAAAATGGGCTGTTACATACCTGAACATTAAGATGTCATTAGATAGTAAACCACTAAAAAGTGATATTTTACTCATAAATTGATCAGTGTCAGAGTAAGCGCCAGAGAACACAATGTACAAGTTGCATTTTTTCTTCATGAAATCATGAATATCACGTACGGTTCATTGTACATCATTCAAAAGCTGCTTTTTGATAATTAAAGTCTGCCTTAAAAACAACTGGAGATAACTTGCTATGCTTCTTGTACTTCTGCTGTTCTGTCATTTAGTTTATGAAGCCGACTCTGGTGGTAAGAAATGGTCCATAGTTTGACTGTCCGCTTTACCCTCACATTGAACTGGTCTCGGAATTTTCATATGGGCATTTCATATGCGCATCTGCCGGATCTTGCGAGATAACTGGAAATGACCACATCTTTAACATTATATCGATGAGAATGTTGTGAAAGGCTGGGTGATGCAGGAACATTTTCAGTATTTAAATATTCGTCGTGCACGGCTGTAAGGAAAAGCATCGAAGAACTTTTCTTTTCTTAGTTTCGTTGCCGTAGGTCCTCAGTTGAACAGTATACACGCAAATAACTTTTTCCTTTGACCATTGCTATCCCCCCCATGCAGCATATATGGACATTTTCGTGGTTGTGAAAATTAAACTGTCGACCGATAATGTCATCTCGTTAGTGGGTTTCGTTCAGCCCCTGCACACGCACAACAGCTTCTCGTCATACATTGATTTTTGTCTTTTAAAGCGTCCGATTTTGCGTCACACGTCTCTTCTAAATATCCGCAATTGATTTTTTGTACTTCTGTGGTGTCTGTTGTTAATTAGCGGATCGTCTGGAGGGAAACCGAAACTACGGCTGCCGTTTCGTCCGTCGCCCGACGCTGATGTCTGTTTGTTGATAGAACAGATCGCAGCCGCTGTTGTGTTCTCAAAATGTACTCGTGGGAAAATTCGATCGTGGACACATGTTTCCAATGGGGTGGAATAGAATTCGCAATCGATATTGTCCGACATCAGCCATGTTTACTACCTCACTCCTGCTCTTTTGTCACCACTGTCGAGTTTTTCGAATCCTCGATGCTGATCATGCTCCTGTTGTAGGGGTCCAAGTGGTTGAGTAGATTCGTTGCCTTGTCACTTTCAGTCATCCAGGAACTGCATACGACCGAGTATTTCCGTTTCTCTCATTCTTATTCCTGTTTTCCGTCATGTTACAGCATCAGATGAATCCTTTTATATCCTGTACGGCATTGCTGTGCGATCGATAATCGATGTTGAATGACTTTTGTTTTGCAGGTGG